CAAAATATAATCAAAAATAACCAGTACAGTGCTGAAAATATGCACTTCAAAGAAATCAAATCTTGGGGTTTCATAAGAAGCCAGCAACTTCATCAATGATTTGAAGTTTTTAGTTTCAATCTAAAGTCTATGAATTAGTGTATAATCCAACCTGCTGCCTATGTACTTTTCTAAATGTGACTAAGATAATGAGCCCCTAACAAATCTGATTTTAATAAGATGCATCATATGTACATCCTGGATGTTTCTGAACAGGAAGTTTTGTATCTCCTTTTTATAAGCAGTGAAGGTAAATGCAATACACTGAACTGAATTATTTCGATTCTTGTCTTTAGATGCGTTATTTCTATTTTTTCAATGGACAGGTATCCCTCAAATAAGGTTTTTAGCAATTGAATCACCTACATCAACAAGTGCAGATTGCCTTAAGAAGATGATACAGGATTGCTTTTCCCGGTTTCACATGAACAATTTCCCAAGACAACTGGCAGCGCTAAACGTGGATGGAGCTTCGGTAAATTTGGGTAGCATAAACGGACTTGCAGCCAAACTTCGCAAAGACTCACCATGGCTGCTTACTATTCATTGCTTCAACCATCGCCTTGAACTGGCTGTTAAAGATGCATTTAAAGGAACAGGTATGGTGACACAACAGTTAGACACTTCTTTTGTTTAAGATGTTGAATTTCAGAATAATGTGTTCATAATATATACATTACTCATTTAATCAGAATTTGACGAAGTGGATGAGCTCCTGACTAAATTGTATTACTTGTACCAAAAGTCGGCAAAGCGCTATCGCGAATTGAAGGGATTCAGCGAGATTTTCGAAAAGAGCATAGCAAAGCCAGCCAAAGCCTTTGGAACGAAATGGATCACCCACAAGTTGAAAGCTATGGAGACCTTTGTTGCCAATTATGGCGCATACATGCTACACATTGAGTCATTGTCCCAAACAGATTCGGTGCCAGCAAAAAGAGAAGAATTGAAAGGTTTTTGTCAAAATGGACGTATGCAAAGTATCCTATGCTGATGACAGTATACATTGACATTTTGACGCCTTTGAAGGTAATTAGTATAACGCTTCAATGTTCAGATTTGCTGTCTTATCACAACATATATAATCTGGTGCAAAATTAAGAGTAGTGACTTTTATTTTTAGGTTCTTAGCCTGGGATTCCAAAAGGAAGTTCACGACCCTGTTAAAGCGGTGAAGCGCATTAATGAATTTTAGTGGACTATGGTCAAACTAAAAGAATTGATCAATAAATGCGTTCAGGACGACTCCGAAAAACTTATTAATTTTATCGGTTTTTGAAGGAGTGCGAAGCCACAACGGAGGAAGCTCTCCAATATTGGCTAGAGCAAAAGATTAGACGCCCAAATGGTGCAAAACCACGAAAGTCAATCAGCAGAAAGGCAATCAAAGTCAGCGTCATCTACAAACGTTGTTGATATTGCAGCAGCTACGCTTTCCGATTTGGAAGAGAACGAATGCGAGGATTTTAGTTTATAGTTTTTAAAATTAATAAAAAATATTGGCGTAATCATGTGCATTGTAAAAATTGCGAGAGGAAAATAAATCGGGGTCGGTAGGAACTTATTCGAAAAAAGTTGCGAAGCAATTTTTTTGCGATAATTCGGACCTTGGTATATACCCAACTAAATGATATTACTCAATACTCTTTTTTTGGTGCTATAACCTGCATGTATTTTTTTCTTCAGCATAATTCATTTGTATTTGTTCATCGATATCCCCACCTATTGGTATGTTTCGCTGCCGGAAAATGGCATATACAACCACAAATACAACCATCCGACCGGTGCAGCTTCAAAAAGAAATTTCAGGGCTTCCATTTACTACATTTTTCAAAGTTCATGTATGAGAACAATATTTCTTCCTGTATTCATACTTTTTAGGAGTTTGCAACATCAAAAGTTCGAAGCAAGGAAATCGATCAACAGGGCTCAGTCACTCAGTACTATGCTTAGTACTTTTTTAAATATCTATCGGAGAAGTCTGGCTGGGAGAATGGTACTTAGACTAATTCTAGTACTGGTTTTTATAAATCGGGGTATTATTTTTTGGGTACACTTGCAAAATGTATCAATTCAGGAAGAAATTCAGACGCTCAAATGACTTCTTTTACAATAACGTGGAGAAGAAAGGAAACACGCAAAAGATGATGCGGTAGGAATTTTTATAGTGTTCTTTTTATTGATTATAATACAAAGATTATAATAATTATAATACAAAGATTTTTCATGATTATAATACAAACAAAAAGGTATGTAAAATAGATGTTACTGAAATGAAATTATTAAAACAGGCCAAACAACATTTTGTACTTGTCAGATATACCATATCCCAGTTGCATACACATATTAGCAATGTAAAAATATCTGGTTGTGTATGATAGAAAGTTTGGTATTGAAGCCAAAGATTTTATTGAAAAAAGTAAGTGCTGTGTGAACATTACTCTTTCAGGATATAAGGTGTCTGAACAACTTCACCAAATTTTGACTTACATTTACATACTATTTGTTTGAAGACCCTTGTCAAAGATGTGAGAACTTATTGCATATTAATCTGACATTGCATGAAGTGAATGTCTCAAAGTTGTATTTGGCTTATTTTTCAATGTAAAGTTCTTCATGTGGTATGGGAGGAAATGTCTTCATCCTTAAATATCAGTTTATTGTACCTTTCAAACCCTTGTGAAGTCATCCTTCTGTGTTTTTACAAGACCCTTGTTCGACATTGTTCTTATTACATGTGGACGTTAACCAGCACAGCTTTACAAGCAAAAATATTGTTAAAACTTGTGAATGATTATTTACACAATATATTTATCTCATCCAATTTCTTTTATGAATGCAGAATCCACATCGATGATGCAGTCTGTTTTCAGTGATCATTCCCACCATGAGATGCAACCTGAAGAAGTATGTTTTGTTATGTGAAAATAACTTTTTTGTACAAATACACATATAGTTTCTCAACCTTCTAATACCCCACAATTTGTTACCATACATCCTGTGCCTAAGTTCATGAGCTTCTATAAAGCTATTAGGGTGATAACCAACAGGGCAAATGGAATTTATTTATGACTATTGAGGTATACACATTCATACTCACATACATAGCCACATACCTACAGTACATACATTAAGTAGTATAAACTAAATGTATGATAAAAATAGTCATATTCGCCATTTGCTTTACGTGCCTGATATATATATTAAGCACTTTCTAAGGATTTTGTGAAGTCATAATTAATTATAATTATTAATCTGCATACACATACACACACATACACACACACACATACATACACACACACAAACATACACACACAAACATACACACACAAACATACACACACAAACATACACACACATACATACACACACACAAACATACACACACAAACATACACACACATACATACACACACATACATACACACACATACATACACACACATAATACAACCTTAAGATAAATGATTTACATATTTTAGGACTTGTTTAGTGTAGTGTGCAGGGAGGTTCAGTGGATTGCTGTAAAACCAGTGAATAGTCCATGGGGGGGGTTGTACTTTTGTGTATTCAAAAGTAACGCCGTCCCAGCCCGAGTTAAAATGTTGCAGCTGTTCGTCATATCATTGCATTCATGTGACAACCCTTGCAAAAGCCATGCAAATCGTTGAAGAGGATGAAATGGATTCTCCATTGGCACTTTTTAAGTTTTCCTTTGGAATTACACCAGAGATGCGAGACTATTTTGAATTGGCTACACTTAGCAAAGAAAAGGTTTCTTTATTTGAAACAGGTATGCAAGATATTCTGCAATGGTGAACATCCTTTTAGCATTACATATACTATTTCCTTTATTGGTATGGTATTTAGCACTTTCTAGCATTTTGTAAATATTACAATTTAATTATTTTAGGCAATGAGAATGATGCAAGCGATTTTACTGATCTTCCTGAAAAAAATGGTCATAAAATTTTGGCGCCATCTGAAAGTGGTATTTGTTCTTGTGGTGCAGAGTGGGATAAACGTTTTATTCAAGATGAATAGTTGTACGTAGACTTGTGTTCAGTTCCGTACTTTTATTCTATCCATGATGTGAAGGGTAAGTTCTGATTTGCTATAGCTTACGCTTTACTTCATAATTATTTGACTTAAATAAATTATTTAGTGTATTGTAGACCTTGCTCCTCTTGTGCTACGAAAAAGCATTATGATGGGATTGAAAACAGGATTGTATGGTTTGGATCATATGCAATATCTCATGCCGTTCAAAAGATTACATTCGGCTTTTCATAACGTCGAGGTACTTTTTAATGAAAATTTGCCGAAGCATTAGTAGCTACGTTTGTCCATTATATAATTTTCTCGCCCTATCTCTTTTGAATGTTTTTTCTTTTTTATTCTTGTTCAGTTTACCTATGTACAAATATTATGTTGCGTATGTACAAAGGCAAGTGTCTTCGGGTAATTTTAATTTCCCAAAGGAAATAACTTACGCCAAGTTTCGTCTTGCTATCATTGCCATGATACGGTAAGCATCATTTCAATTTAAGCTGTAAAATATGAATATTCCATTGAGATAGTGATCGCTTGTTTTATTAAGTTATTGAATTTTCTCTTATTAAGGTTGCTTGATATTGATTTTGACAATGGGTTTTTTTGTGAATTATGTGGAAGAATTCCCCAAAAGGTGGTGATGGATGGAACAACTCTTGGAATACAGAAAACTTTCTTACCAAATAATTTAAGAGAGTCTGATACTGGATTGCTAGATGGAAGATTAGTATTTTTGAAGTTTATCTGTAATATATAGTATATACAGGTCTGCTAATTAGTAAATACGAGTGTTCATCTACGTATCAGAAAGCATTTTATGCATGATGGTGACTTCTCTCACTTTGTTTTTGTACACAGCTTATAGTTATAAAAATAACAACCTGTTTTCTTTTGTCCAATACTAGGTTTGAAATGCGCAATTTCATCAACAGGAGAAATGTGCGAGCTTTATTGAAGAAGTACAATGATTCAAAGCTAAGTTGGGACGAATTTCAAGAATTAAAATCTGAAGTAAGAAGAATTTATTACCCCACGAGTACAAAATTTTGTATGACCACTCCAGAGCTCATTTTATACTACAATTTCTCGTATTTATAGATATCTTCAAAGGGGCTTAGGACTCTACTTGAATGGTTAGAGAAACAAGGATTTATCACTAGTTGTCCAAACTCGTGCAGAAGGTTATTGGCAGCATTGTCTTCTGACAAACCAGTATGCGCAATTGTGCCCCCCAAAGAAGAAGTTTTGGACATCTTGATAAGGATGTCTGATGGAGCCAATCCAAAAGACAATCCTTCGACTGATTTAAAACTTCTTCATGAAGAAGTGCCCCTACTGTTTAACGTCATGGAGACTAGTGAAGAAATTCCTATTACTATTCAACCGCTGCTAAAGGAATTGGTACAAAAGGCTATAAGTCCGTTCGAGGTCAAGGACGGTGAGTGGCGTTTGCCACACAACTTACCTGAGGTGTCTCAAAATTCATCCTATGGATATCTACCTTGTCTGCCAGAACTGGTTCAACGAGGGAATTATGTTCTTGACAATAGGAAGACACAGCAGGGAGATTGTGCTAAAGTCACTAGACCCAAGAAGAAGCATGGCACTTTGATCCCTGGAATATTTTGTATTCTTTATCCCCACGGTATTTACATGATGAACAGCTCCAACGAAAATTTGTTTTACTATTGCAGTAAGTGACATTGCGCCTTCGTTTTTGTTTCCAGGTATATGTTATGGATTGGAAATAATAAGGGATCACGAATCACCAAATATCCCATATACCATTTACGAACACGTTTTCCTGATGGTAAGTTACGTATGTGTGTATCTTTTATGGTGCTACAAACAGAGTATTATCATTGAATCGGACAGATTGCACAACTCTGTCAGAGTTGTCAGTGCAGTAACATAACCGAATGTGCCTGATGATATGCATATGTATTTTTATTTCTTTAGCGCCAGAGTTGGTCATTTACGATAATGCCTGCAGATTGCACGAGTATTGTTTGAACCGAGATCCAGCATTTTTTAAGAAAACGAAATTTGTTGTTGATAAGTTTCATTGGAAAAATCATTCAGGTAAACTGCCATACTCTTCCTATTTTACGTGAAGCGAACTTATTGATCCAAAATGCCCGTTTTATGTTCTCACAAAATTTGTTGATTTATAACTAAATTTGTACACATACATTTGTTAATATAACTGTGGTAATAAATATAAATTAATATGAAATTGTGCAACCAGAAACAATAAAAAGAACACTTTAAAAATTCCTACCGCATCATCTTTTTGTGTGTTTCCTTTCCTCTCCACGTTATTGTAAAAGAAGTCATTTGAGCGTCTGAATTTCTTCCTGAATTGATACATTTTGCAAGTGTACCCAAAAAATAATGGTTGATTTATGCTAAAACACCACACGAGTACATACGAGTAACATACGAGTACAAACGAGTGACATACGATTACATACGAATGACATACGACTATTTTCTGGTCAACAAATGAGAAACAACACAATTTCTTCAATACGTTGATATTTGCGTTTATTTTTCCTTGTTTTTAGTGGACTTTGGGGCAACCATTTGATGGATTTAAATGCTGAAAAGGTATTTTACTTTTATACTACATTCATTTGTATGTTTTAGTTGAATTTGTTATAGATATTTTGTCGATGCGATTTGCCAGTATTTGAGCGCTTTTTGAAACACTTTCACGTAGGGCCACTAAAGTTTTTTTAGGGCCTCTTTTTCATGAGGGTATGCATGATACACTCTTCATCAACTATCCTCAACTTCATCAAGCATGATACCCCTTCATCAAATATCCTTAACCTCATAATGCTATACCCCCTTCATCAACTATCCTTAACCTCATAATGCATGATAACCACTTCATCAACTATCCTTAACCTAATAATGCATGATACCTCCTCGAACAACTACATTTAACCTAATAATGCATGATACCCCCTTAATGAACTACCAATAACCTCATATTGCATGATACCCCTCAATAAACTATCCTCAACCTCATATTGCATGATACCCTCTTCATCACTATCCTTAACCTCATATGCATGATACCCCCTTCATCAACTATCCTCAACCTCATATTGCATGATACCCCCTTCATCAACTATCCTCAACCTAATAATGCATGAAATCCCTTTAATCAACTATCCTCCACCTCAAAATTCATGATACCCCCTTCATCAAATATCCTCAACCTCTTAATGCTATACCCCCTTCATCACCTATCCTTAACCTCATATTGCATGATACCCCCTTCATCAACTATCCTTAACCTCATATTGCATGATACCACTCTTCATCTACTATCCTCAACCTCATAATGCATGATACCCCTTCATCAACTATCCTCAACCTCATATTGCATGATACCTCCTTCATCAACTATCCTCAACCTCATAATGCATGATATCCTCTTCATCAACTATCCTCAACTTCATTAAGCATGACACCCCTTCATCAAATATCCTTAACCTCATAATGCTATACCCCCTTCATCAACTATCCTTAACCTCATAATGCATGATAACCACTTCATCAACTATCCTCAACCTCATAATGCATGGTACCTCCTTCATCAATTATTCTCAAACTCATAATGCATGATACCACTTCATCAACTATCCTTAACTCATATTGCATGATACTCCTTTCATCAACTATCCTCAACCTCATATTGCATGATACCCCCTTCATCAAATATCCTCAACCTCATAATGCTATACCCCCTTTATCAACTATCCTTAACCTCATAATTCATGATAACCCCTTCATCAACTATCCTCAACCTAATAATGCATGATACCTCCTTCATCAACTATCCTTAACCTCATAATGCATGATAACCTTCATTAACTATCCTCAACCTCATAATGCCTCATACCCCATTCATCAACTATCCTCAACCTCATTTTGTATAATACCCCCTTCATCAACTATCCTCAACCTCATATTGCATGATACCCTCTTCATCAGCTAACTTTAACCTCATAATGCATGATACCCCCTTCATCAACTATCCTCAACCTCATAATGCATGATACCCCTTTCATCAACTATAGTCAACCTCATATTGCATGATTCCTCTTCATCAACTATCCTCAACCTCATAATGCATGATACCCTCTTCATCAACTATCCTCAACCTCATATTGCATGATACCCTCTTCATCAACTATCCTCAACCTCATAATGCATGATACCCCCTTCATCAACTATCCTCAACTTAATAATGCATGATACCACTTCATCAATTATCCTCAATCTCATAATGCATTATCTCCCCTTTATCAACTATCCCTAACCTCATAGTGCCTGATACCCCCTTCATCAACTATCCTCAACCTCGTAATGCATGATACCATCTTCATCAACTATCCTCAACTTCATATTGTATGATACCCTCTTCATCAACTATCTTTAACCTCATAATGCATGATGCCCCCTTCATCAACTATCATCAACCTCACAATGCATGATACCCCTTCATCAACTATCCTCAACCTCATATTGCATGATACCCTCTTCATCAACTATCCTCAACCTCATAATGCACGATACCCCCTACATCAACTATCCTCAATCTAATAATGCATGATACCTCCTTCATCAACTATCCTTAACCTCATAATTTATGATACCTTTCATTAACTATCCTCAACCTCATAATGCCTGATACCCCTTTCATCAACTACCCTCAACCTCATAATGCATGAAATCACTTTCATCAAGTATCCTCAACCTCATAATTCTTGATACCCCTTCATCAACTATCCTCAAATCATAATGCATGATACCCCTTTCATCAACTATCCTCAACCTCATATTGCATGATACCCCATTCATCAACTATCCTCAACCTCATATTGTGATACCTCCCTCATTCAACTCATATATTGCATGATACCCTCTTCATCAACTATCCTCAACCTCATAATGCATGATACCCCCTACATCAACTATCCTCAATCTAATAATGCATGATACCCCCTTCATCAAATATCACAATGCATGATACCACTTCATCAACTATCCTCAACCTCATATTGCAAGATACTCCTTTCATCAACTATCTTCAACTTCATATTTCATGATGCCCCCTTCATCAAATATCCTCAACCTCATAATGCATGATACCTCATCAACTATCCTCAACTCCTCATAATTATGATACCCCTTCATCAACTATCCTCAACCTCATAATGCATGATACCCCCTTCATCAACTATCCTCAACCTCATAATGCATGATACCCTTTCATCAACTATCCTCAACTTCATATTGCATGATACTCCTTCATCAACTATCTCTCAACCTCATAATGCATGATACCCCTTCATCAACTATCCTCAACCTCATATTGCATGATACCCCTTTCATCAACTATCTCAACCCTCATAATGCATGATACCCTTCATCAACTATCCTCAACCTCACGCTATACCCCTTATCAACTATCCTTAACCTCATAATGCATGATAACCCCTTCATCAACTATCCTCAAACTAATAATGCATGATACCCCCTTCATCAACTATCCTCAACCTCATAATGCCTGATACCCCTTTCATCAACTATCCTCAACCTAATATTGCATGATACCCCCATCATCAACTATCCTCAACATCATATTGCATGATACTCTCTTCATCAACTATCCTCAACCTCATATTGCATGATACCCTCTTCATCAACAATCCTCAACCTTATAATGCTCTACCCCCTTCATCAACTATCCTCAACCTCATAATGCATGATAACCCCTTCATCAACTATTTTCAACCTAATAATGCATGATACCCACTTCATCAACTATCCTCAACCTCATAATGCATGATACCCCCTTCATCAACTATCCTCAACCTCATATTGCATGATATTCCTCTTCATCAACTATTCTCAACTCATAATGTACATATCCTCTTATCACTATCTCAACCTCATAATGCATGATACCTTCATCAACTATCCTCAACCTCATATTGCATGATACCCCTTCATCAACTATCCTCAACCTCATAATGCATGATACCCTTCATCAACTATTCTCAACCTCATAATGCATGATACCCCCTTCATCAACTATCCTCAATCTCATAATGCATGATACCCTTTTCATCAACTATCCTCAACCTCATAATGCATGATATCTCTTCAACTATCCTCAACCTCATATTGCATGATACCCCTTCATCAACTATCCTCAACCTCATAATGCATGATACCTTCTATCAACCACATTCAACCTCATAATGCATGATACCCTTCATCAACTATCCTCAACCTCATATTGCATGATACCTTCATCAACTATCCTCAACCTCATAATGCATTCCCCTTCATCAATTATCCTCAACCTCATAATGCATGATACCCCTTCATCAACTATCCTCAACCTCATAATACCAGATACCCCCTTCATCAACTATCCTCAACCTAATATTGCATGATACCCCCATCATCAACTATCCTCAACATCATATTGCATGATATCCACTTTATCAACTATCCTCAACTCATATGCATGATACCCTTCATCAACTATCCTCAACCTCATATTGCATGATACCCTTCATCAACTATCCTCAACCTCATAATGCATATACCTCTATCAACTATCCCCTAACTCTAATAATGCATGATACCCCTTCATCAACTATCCTCAACCT